AATCCACTCTACAACCCTCATTGCATACTCCTACGATAAAAATAATGCCCTAAAATATAATACTTTTAGAAATTCTCTTTCTTACAGGACAAAGGGACCATTATATGGTCTTCTAGAGGTAAGAAGTTGTGCCGCCAACCTAAAGACATGTGGTTCAAATCCACTAGCTGATCTATAGGAAAGGATAGACATTCTCTTCCCTGCAATTTACTCCTTCTGAAGACTCATTAAAGGGTCAGCTATGATTTGGTACCAATCTGAGTCACAACCAGTCACAATATATTCAGTAGCACCAAGTTTTGGATGTGGTACATATTTAAACATTATACATCAAATTCATATAATTTCATAAACAGCATAATTTTTTGTAGATTATAAACTATTTTATTCAATTGTTTTAAGATAAGAAATGTTATACTATGTTAATTTGTAGAATAAAATTCGGGAACATATGGTATTCATTCATTCATTCACTTACTAATTTATCAAATGAGTGCTTTGTATGTTGTTATTATGTGCCATTGATTTGCTTGTGACTCATAGCGACCCTAAGTACAATAGCCCTGAAACTTGCTCTAACCTATGCCAACTTTAGTGTCTACGACATACTTAACCTTTATTAGCCCAATCACTGAATCAATCCATCTCATCAAGGGTCTTCCTCTTTCTCTGTCCCTCTACCCTTCCATGCATAATGTCTTTCTCCAAGGATTGGTCCCTCCTTGCAACATACCCAAAGTATGTCAGAAAGCTTCAGAATCCTTGCCTCAAAGGAACAGCCTGGTTTCACCCTCTGTATGATGAACCTATTTGTTCCCCTGGCAGTCCATGGTATAATCAACACTCTTATTCAGCACCACAACTTAATGGCATCAATTCTCTTTCTATCATCCCTAGTCATTGTCCAGCTCTCTGACACAAAGCAAGCAATTGTCTAGACTATGACCTGGATCAGGCACACTTTAGTCTCCAGACTGGCATCGTTGCTCTTCAGTACTCTGGAGAGGTCCCTGACAGCTGACTTTCTCAATGAAATTTGTCTTCTGATTTTCTTGCTGCTAGTACCAACAGTGTTGATTGTGGAGCCAAGCAAACTAAAGCTGTTAACTATCTCAGTCTCTTCACCATCTAGCATAATACTGCCAATTGGTCCAGTGGTGAGAATCTTTGTCTTCTTGACATTGAGCCTCAATCCATATTGGAGGCTACAGTCCTTGCCTCTGGAGCAATCGCTTCAGGTCCTCCTCAGTTTCAGCAAGCAGGGT